CCAAGTAGTAAGCAGTGCAGGCTGACAGCTCATTTTTCACAGAATAACTACTCAGTCTGAACGTGACCATGGTGCCCTTCAAACAAACACGGCCCGTGGGTTTTGCTAACTCATGTTCCCTTTTCCTTTTCATTACAGTAGCAGTAAAGTGAAGTTGGAGCCGAACCTATTCTTAAGAGTAGGTGTGAGTATTTTTCCTCCGACAGCATTATAGTGTGTTCAGACCAAGAACAAAGCCAAGCTTTCATGTGCCTCCATTTGGACTATGCAAGACTTGACTTGTGATATTCTTCACATCAGGAGATAGCAACAGAAGTGTCAGATATTTTAATTTCAGTGAAAAGTTGTTGTTTTTATGCTTAAAACCCAGAGGAGCTGTTAAGTCTTGAAAACACCTTCAAATTGAAAACCACTGGAGGTGAATATTTGTGGGTGGCAAAATAGTTCAAAAACAGTGGTGTGACATGAAACTTTGGTTCGCAATAGCTCTGAACACCACTGTAGTTACTGTAAGTGTGGAGGGGGGTCCACTGGGTGGACTCGGTGATATAACTTTGGTCATCGTGGAGTGAATGCGTGGATCCGTGTGGTAAAAAAACAGTACAAGAATGAGTAATTGTATCTGCAGTAATCTGCAGTGGTTTGTGGATAATCAGGCCTTAACCATTTCCTTGAGTATCACAAACCCTAAAATATTCTTCACCCATCCATCGTGACACAAACATATGGTAAAATCTAAGCATTCCATCTTATTTATTTTTACTCATAAAGAGTAAAAGAAGAGTAAAATTTCTTTGCTCGACATGATGCCAATTTAAATGTGAGCTTCCATTTTAATGCGTTTGACTGCTGAGGAGTAAATAACAAAACAGCCTCACTGGTAGCATTAGAGAGATCAGTAGTGCAGATGGGGAAAGGAGAGAACAGTTCCTAAGTTGCTTTTTCAGCTGCAGGTTAAGAAATGCGACAGAGAAAACCTTAGTTTCCCAAATCTATGACTTTTGACACTTCAGTTCTAAAAGTCATCACCAGACACAGCTTTGTCGAGTCCATTGATCCTTTCAGGCAGCATGCCTTCCTCAATGGCTACCTTGGATGCTTGGACCTAAAAGACAGATGAGCAGATAACACTGATGCTGACCTCCATCCACACGAGAACAGTACTGCAGAAAATCCTTTTAAGGTGTAATTCCAAATAAAAGACAATAATATCTTTTCATGTATTATTTCCAATTCATTACCTGGAATGGTTCACTTATTCCAATGATGCACTTCAGAGCGTTACAGTAGTAGCACAGCACGCAGTCTCCTCCCTGCACGGGGATTTCCTCCTTACTTACATAAACCTACAGAAACAAGAACATTTCCATCACCTGAGGCTTACATGCACTTTTGCTCCAGCTCGTGTTCAAACTGCAGTCCCACTCACTGAGACAAGAGTTACCACCTGTATAACCTCCTCGTTGAAGGCCACCTCGTCGTCTTTGACCCACGCGTAGGTGATGTAGTCTGACACGCTGCTGAAACCAACCTGAAAATTCACACAAACATGAAGACTTTCAACTAGAACACTGAACCAGCCAGCAGTGAAACACGTGTTGTCAACCTTATAGAGGCCGATCCAGTCCCAAGTACTGGAGGGGAATGGCTGCAGAGGGCTGTAAACCACCATGGCATCAATATCTGCGCTCCAGTCGCCCTCTGCCCGCAGACGCACCAGAGGAGTCTCGTACATCTTCCTCAGCTGTAGGCACGCACAAATCAACAGTCCAAGTTAGAAACCACATTCTGTACAAGAGGACCCACACAGCTATGGAGACTTTCAAATGAGGGATAAGAGAGTCACACTATCATGACTAAATCTACGATGGATAGTTAGAGGAGATTGCATCAATATTGAAGTCACATTCAGTTTGTCAGGAGGGTGTGAAGCCAAAGCATCTAAAACCTGTTTTGCATCTAAGCAGGGGGCGACTCTTCTGCATACAAAAACACTTTTTCAGTTGTACGAATGTCTATGGGAAAAATGACCTGTCAAGTCAAGTTACAAGTACAATAAAGAATTTTCAGATAAGTTTATAGTCTCAAGTGCTTTCAGTTACAATATATTCCACTGTAATCATTAGAACTCCCAAAAAAGAGGACTGCTAAGGAACCATATTCATTTCCAGTGTTGGGAAGGTTACTTTTAAAATGTATTCCAATACAGATTACAGATTACATGCTCCAAAATGTATCGAGTAACGTATTCAGAATACTTTGGATTACTTAATATATTATTATGCTTTTTACAACTACATGAATGTGCTATTGCTGTGTGATTTATCATTATTACTGAAGGATACTCGTCATACCAATACCAACTAGATTTTTAAATCTTAATATAAAATGAGTAACAGTAGAGTGGACATTAGGTAAGGCTGCACTTTTTTGCAGCGATCTTGTATAGAAAACTATTC